TGACTTGACTGGTAACATTTTAACAAACTGACCATTAAATAATTTTCCATATACATTGTAACAAAAATTATCATTAAAAATATTACATGATTAATCATGTAATTTCTCTTTCAAAATTTTAGTGTTCAATAGTGATATTAGATAAATCTTTCAGCTTTACCATGTACTTGCACACGTACATGAATACCTACCTACCTACCTGCCTACCTGCCTACTACCTGCCTACCTACCTGCTACCTGCCTACTACCTGCCTACCTACCTGCTACCTGCCTGCCTACCTACCTACCTACCCACCTACATACATACATACATACATACATACATACGTACTGGTATATTTAACATATGCACATTTATCATTATATTACCTGATTAACAAAAATTCGATTTTATCTGATAGTTACATAGATTAGGTTATAATACATAGATTTACCCTAAATACAACATCAATGTAAGCGAATACTTTGATCAATTAACGAATATACGTGAAGAAAAGATGGTTTGGAGAAGAAAATGGAAAAGAAAATATGCTTGTTATCGTTTCTTCATACAATATAATAATTGTAATACATTATTTCTATTTGATGAATTGTGTCTATTATATAAAAAAATGAAGAAAAGAAAACGATCAATGTTTCATTGGATATTTATGCTTTAAACAAACCATCGTTACACTTACACACACTCACATATACCTATCAACAATTGATAGTTGTTTAGAATTGATAGGAATTATGGCTATCAATGTTTTATCTTGATTAATATAAGAACATTTGATTGTATATTTTTGTTGTTGTCTAACCATAGTTGTATGTATTTGTGTATGTGGAGGTAGTGTCTGAATGAACACTTTGAACCAACAGTTATTTTTAAACAATCGAGTGTTTTCATCGATAAAAGGTGTTAATTTACTTAAATTTTAATTATTAGGTTATAGGTTTTAAGCCCGTTCTACGTAATTTGGTTTGGGTGACTGAATAGCTTTACTAGCTACGATGAAATAAAATTGTAGCTTAAAGACATGGACTACAGAGCTGAGGTTTTTTCTAGGTCTTTATCACGAACATACTATTAAAATTAAGTTGGTTAATACTCAGTTTACGCAACAAATTGACTCGAGCTAAACAATCGTAGAAAAGTAAGAAATTCTGGACGGTTGTATCATCTTAGTTGTAGACCTCTTCAGTACTGCCCACATACGATTCTACGACCGATCAAATCCAGAATTATCAGGGTTATTGGGTGGCTCGAGGTATCTTTTTTGACCTGGGTTTGGCTCTAGTTGGTACAAGTCAACAAAGCCTACCTGTAATCTTGAGGAAATTGATGCTTCGAACTTAAATTAATATAAACTATTTTCTGGTGTTCTTGATTTCTTTCCATTCAAACTTATAAGAGATTTATAGTCAACTGTTCCTTTTTTAAGTTGTGTCATTTATTATAGTGGAAAGACTAAGTATCAGTAGTCCCATTTATCTAGCTTGCATATATCCCATTTGTACCTGAAGAATCTCATCGTCAATATATAAGACATTATGAATCATAACAATTGTAAATGGTACTTCTGACTTTTAAGAGGAAATTGAACGAAATAACACATTGATAAATAAGGAATAACGATTATTTCTACCCAAGTTAACTGTAGTTTCATGAGTCATAGTTTTATCAGACAAAAACAACTGACTTGTGTCAATGAAACGAAATTAGTTATGCACATATGCCAATAAGAGACTGGTCAATTGTAGTCCTAAACATCAATGGGAAGATTCAAACAAACAATACCAAGGAATACAATTCTGAATTTTTTCAAAAATAGGAATTGGAAACGATGAAAAAGCGGTGTAATACTTTGATAACAAGTTACTCATCAGGAGTTTGTTCAGACGATGTACCAGCATAAATCAATCATCATTCGTTCAATTACTTTAGATGCAACTTACCATATAAGTTAAATAAATTGAATATGAGTAACAATGATCTTAAGTGGCTTGTGATAGTCGACAGGAGACTTCGCACCTCCATTTCTTACAAGGACTATCTGGAATCTTATGGGAACTTAAGCTTCCCGTAGAATCCAAACCTGTTCCAACTAACTTCACTAACTTATCCTGTTATGTTTTTCAGTCTTTTAATCAAACTAACAAATAAGGAAAATTAATTAATACGACTACACTTCATCTCTATCAGACCATACATCTTCCATTTCAACCAATGACACTCTTTGGCCAGTAACAAATAACCTTGCGGGGTTGGTTACAACTCCTATTCCTACTGGACCAGAAGTACAACTTTCTTCTAGCACGGTAGCCGGTCAGAATAAGAACACAGTAAGCAAACAAAGCACTACTAATCAGCGTTTATTCATTGCGTAACCACTAGTTACTATCTGTTACGTCTGGCTGATTGTGAACGCTATATTTGCTTCCCTAAGCTAGTTCCGTATCCCCAAGCTAGAAATATACAGCAACTTGAACACCAGAGAAAAGACACGAGTATGAGAGAAGCACTTTACTACAGGGTTCATTTATGTACAGAAAATACAGGGGTTTTATAGTAATTAAGAGACCTTGAATTTCCATAGTAGCAGTGTGTTAAACAGCCAATCAGGATCTCGTTATTTTAGTAGCATAGCTTCTAATTAATCGCTGATTGGTTGGGGCTCTTTATGAGCCTCTGGAGGCTCTGATAGAGTTTACTGTAAGCCGACTTAAAACTATCCCTTTAAACTTTTGTCAATATCATTGTTGTAGAATGTTCTTTCATGTATGATATTTGCTTATTTTGTCTATTAAATTTATTCACACCCTTTCTATACCATAATGATATGTTATCATATCAACTTCAAATCAAACTCCTTTATGTAATTAATTCCAACCCACTTTATAACTACATTTGTTAAATATTACCGGTTGTAAGTAACTGAAGCGAACCAAACGAAATCAATTGAATTCATGTTATACTACTTAAATCGTTGTGCTTGTTCTTTTCAAGTTTCTATCTGATTTGCTGAATGTGTATCATCAATTTTCAACCTGTTTCTATCAATGTCGGAAAATGTCTACTTAACTCTAAAATAACAGATATTGTAGAGAACAAGTACAAGTGTGGGAACAATCGAATGTTTTTAAGCACAAATTACAGACTATTTCACTAAATTCTGATAACCATAAAGTAAACAGTTAATTTGCAAAATAACAAGCAATTGTCTCAATCTTAACTGTTCCTTCTGCAAATATCAGTTCATCTCTGATTTCATTTTTCATGCATTTTCATATTGATTGCGCTTCGTTCCGGTTCTTTCCCTATCCATCTTCTGCCAAAATACATTCTGTATCTGACCATCACCGTATACTACTTATATGGATATAAGTAGACCACATCATAATATTGGTGTTAATGTATTCTAAATTGTAGAAATGTTAGTTTCCTGTATTAAACGTCAAAGTTGATTTTTCTCTTTATACAAAGAATATAACTCACGGATTAGGTTGTTTATTTATTGTAACTATGTTATACCGAAGACATTTAGGATTGGGCTATTTTTGATGTAAATTTACTGATTACTTTATCAATGTATTGATTATCATTGGATCCATCATTATGTATAGTTTTTTTTCCTCTTTCAAGTCAACAGTTATTGACATAGACTTATTTTTTCCCATATTCTTCCCTGTGTTAACTTGGATAACAAAATTGTTTCATTTTGTCTTGACTAATATTATGAACATAAATTAAGTTTGATTTATATCTTGTCAATGGATGTGCACACACACGCACTCGTATATATGGTGTTTATTATCAGAATGGGGATCCGTGGAGATTGTAGGAATCTTAATAATTGAATTCAGGAGTCAATATAAGCTAAACCACCATTTAAAACCTGTAAGCACTGAGTGGACAGTTCGTCCAAGTACGTGACTCCTCAGCAGTGCTCATCTACTATCCCGCATGTGGGGCTCGAACCCAGGACCTTCATTCTCATGAGCGAACGCTTAACCAGTAGACCACTGACCCGGCATATATTTAGTGTGAGGAAGAAATTTAAATGTCTTTATAGTGCATATAATCTTTCCTTTTTTTGTTGACTACATAAAAATTTATATTGGTTATGCAATAAGACTGAGGAGAATGCTTTCAAGAATTTGAATAAAAGGAAATTTCACTCTGTGTCTATGTTATAGTTCGAAGAAGTTTTCGTTATGGATTGAAATCTCATTTGAAAGCTGTTAACAATCAGAGAGAATTATATGATTATTTTATTTTATTTTGATATTTCACAATAATGATTAATCCTAATTGTGTTAAGGATTAAAACTAAGACTGTTAGATCTCTCAACCACTTTGTTCTTCTTCAGTTCACTGTATTAGATTTGAATAGTTCATGTAGTTAGACTTCATCAGTAACATTGATTGAATGAAATTGATTAGAGACTTAGTTAACCTTTATTTCAGTTATTTAAATTGTAATATTATGAAATGTATACTTTTAAAGAAGCTTATATTATTACTCTTCTCGTCGTCAAATGACACTGTTTTGTGAAAATCATTGTTAACAAAATTCGAAATTATTTCAACATTGTCAATCTAATATTACTGTTCTATGTTCATTTCTGGTCGAAATCATTATACATTTATATGATCAAAAGAATTTGTTTTACACCACGGACTGACATGAGTTAGATGACTATCGAAAACTAGGAATCAGTGGACAGGTGTTTCATTCTATCACGGGACTCCTCAGCAATGCATGTCTATGACTTCGCTATAGATCAACTCCAGAACCTTCAGACCCTACAGAGAACGCTTGGTCTTCAGACCACTGAGTAGAAGCCAACTAACCAACTATATGTTTGACTGAAACTTATCCTTGATATTGCACAACCATCATTCATTATCATTGGTAATATCACTTTATGAAAATATTTTAATACTACTCTATTTGTTTTCAGCAATCTATACCACATCTAGAAACGAAGTTTTTTTCTTTTGTTCTTAAAAGGTCTTATGATCCTTTTATGTTGCATCCTGTTTCCTATTGGGTGGTCTAATAACGATGAAATTGTTCAAATATGTGGTGAAAGGCGTTCACGATTCGATCTAGGTAAGTATTCTTTGATTTTTGTGCACTTTACTATTAAATGAATGTATCGAATTAGGAATAGTGATAATTAGAATAATGTTTCAACATAATAGATTCATCCGAGCTGATGTACCATTGAAAGTCAGGGAGTATTGGTGAACTAATTCGCCATAGAATGCATCTCTACATCAGTGCTCACCCACAGCTTCAGCAAACATCGAATTAGAGACCTTCATAAGAACTACAGATTTCTTCCATTCCTAATTAGCTGAACAAAATGCCAGGGTGACCAACCTATAAAAGACCAGAAAACTTTTATTTCTGAAGAAAAGACAATGAAATGAATCTACATCAAAGTATATATAGTAGTTTTTCATCCCGTAATAACCAATAGGAATTATGTGATATTGTCACGTTATAACGGTTACATTAATACTGAATTATGAATAGTCATCTATCACAGTGATACTAATTGGTGTTAACTCGAATAAGGTGAGTTATTACGAGATTTGGAATTATTAACAAAAATGAAATAACACTGAACAGTTGTTTTATTCTATGTGAAGTCAAAAGTCTCGTGTTCTACATAATACTATCCGTCTATGGAACCGACATCTACTTGACCAAATTTCATATCTTCAGTTAAGCTCAAACGAAATATTTATCCGATTCTCTGTGTTATTTAATGGCTATCCAGTTGGTGTCTGGAGATGTTCCACAATTTCCGGATCCTTTAAAATTTAATTAAGGGTTCAACATTTGGTGGTTACCGACAGTTACATCCTTTCGATATCTACTTTCTAACTGGACAGATTCTAGTTATTTTTAGATATACCAGTGAAATTTGATCATTATCAATCCAACTCGACTGTAGATTAATTTGTCGATTTCTCTGCATTTTACTTGTGAAACTTCTCTTTTAGGTCACTGTCAACTTGGATGGGCCTATGTCGTCACAATAATGAGCGGTTTATTGTCAATCTTTAGTTCTGTCTTTCCAAATCTATGCTTTCCAAAGATACTATTTGAAATTAAACAAAATAACAAATTTCAGCGTACTAAATTTAATAAAAACCAAACAAATGATGGATTATTACCACATTTTTTAACCCATGATTTGTCAATGACGCCAACAATTGTAGCACCAGCTACACCAGGTGGACCACCATCAGTTGAAACTGTATCGACCAGTTTACGCACATCTGATCCACGTATTCATCATGTTGATTTCGAATCACCATGGTTAAAAACTTGGGCTTGTTTAAACACACCCATTCAACAGCAATCACATGGACCAGTGGTATTAATACACCCGGATTATAATTTATCTTCCTATTCCGGTGGTTGTTATAATGGAGATAATCAATTAGGCTATAGTCAAGGAAGTTTAGATGATACTTCATCGGTTGGGACAGAGAAGAAATCCGGAATTGTTAATCCAATGAAATCGGATATTCCCAGAAATTTGATGCAAAACATAGAAAACAGTAAAAGTAACAATTAGATGAATGATTTGGAACAAATTCATAATATCTTATATGATCTTTCACATTATGTATTAATTCATAACACATGAACTATTTGCATTGTTCCTACCTAAGTTAGAAAAAGTATTTCACGTACACCGACTTTATCTTATATATATATTTCATTGACGAAATGATAATGTATAATTATATGTATCTCTCAAGAATTTTTCATTGAGCATTCTGCTTCTTTTTTGAAATATATATATATATGAAGTGGACTACTTGTATGCTATATAAGTAGTTAAACAAAATGCAAGGTTAAAATTCTACGGACATTCATGTATAGTAAGTACAGCAGTATCGGAACGTGGGCACATTGTTAGAGTAATCTAATATTTCTTAATGAAGGGCAGTAATGGGTGATCATAACATCTTATGATCAACCATTGATAATTCTGATTGTTGGCAATTATATGAGTTTATAAGAGGTCAGTTAATTTTATTTACAAGTATACTTAATGAATCAGTCAAATAACTTTCAGTAACCTTCAATAAAGTTACTGAAAGCTTCATATATTGAGTCAAACAATCAACTTTGTTTATGTCGGTTTTGACCTCTTGTTTTTTTATTTATCAAAGTATGACCTATTAGAGAAGTCATTTCACAGACTGATGCATTTAATTTTTTATGAGAGTAAAAGTTTAGAACAGAAGACTGAGAAACATCCACTAAGTTATCTTGTTATGTGTTTGATTTCAGCTGAATAAAACGAAATATTCTGAACTTCTCTGAATGGAGTACTTTCAATTAGTTTGTAATAGTCTCTGCATAAACCTATTCCAAGTCAACAATTAACTGAATTAATAATCCAGTCTACAGTTATTGTTTTACAACAGTGCTGTTTGAATTCTCTGACAAATTATTTTTCTTTACAAACTTAAAGAGCAACTTCATATGGTATAATTGTAACTGGTTTTAAAATTGTGGACTAATGGTTGTAGTACTTATCTTTTAACCAATGGGTTAAAGATTAAAACCATGCGCCATCTACTTCGGTTTTTAAATAACTAGTCAGTAGTAGTATCTATGACCTCCAAGAAAAGAATATGTACTTTTAAGTGGATAACATAAATTCGGACATGATAAATAAATCATATTAAATAAAGTACTGATAAGCTGACTGAGTCTAGTTATATTGAGTGCCTGTGCTTATAAGCCATATCAAGGTTAAAAAGTAATTAAGGGATCCCAAAGAAGACAGGTTGTTCAAGAAAGTCCGTTATGTTGTTAGTCAGTCTAAGCCTATATGTCGTTGTCTTGGTTAGAAGGATTGATGAATACTTATACTTATACTCTATTTACAAATTATTCGGATTGCTAATTAGACCTTTTTAGTCATTGCTTAGTCCTCCCACGGTCGTTGGTAGTTGGGACAACATGTAGGAAGTGTATATATATATATATATATATATATATATATATATATATATATATGTAGCTGGATCAGACATCAGGGTTTATAATAATTATCAATATAGCGTTTTGTTACGAGGGAGAAAAAATTGTGTTCAATTTTTATTCCTCGTATTAATCAACTCAGTTAAGAAATATGTAATAAGCTCTAAGTATTTACTCAGTTCTACGTTTTGCCATTTAATGATCTGAAATCCCAGCATAATATATATGTTATAATTGAAATAGAACTTGAAGGTAAAAACTGTGACATGGTTCAGTGTGAGAAGACTCATTTTATTATGGAAACATGGAGATTTTCTTTTTCACTAACGGATATACTCAATGGTATACAGATTTCCTTCTATTGATTATTATCTAGTAAATGTTTACAGTGGATTGATACGAAAAAAACTGTCACATTAAATTAATATGTAACCTTAGGGATAACTTATTTATGACAACAAGTTGGTCAAATGAGAGAAACCTTTTTGGAATTTGTAGTCGTAATAAACAAAGATTTTTATTAGAAATTCTATATGTACTGGAAATGGAATTAAATATTCAACTTTAATAAAGTGTTAAATTGTTATGAACCTCGATCTTATATATATTCACTTGATTAGATCACTAGATGATAGAGTCCACTGATGAGAAGTTTGCTTTACGCGTATTAGACCAAAAACCTCTTTAATCATGAATACGATTGACTGCGAAAACGATAGTCAGATCGTAAATTCTAATAGTGCAACAACCTCCTATCCTCGATGGTCAATCAGAACATAAAAACAGCAAGGAGATTCGCCTTCCATTATTGTGTTGTCATCCTAATTAAGAAGTTTACAGGATTATGTACATCAGTTACATGACCACTGTTATACCTAGAGCTTAGATTCTTGCTATATTGCGTGCTACTTGAGCACCTGAACGATAGAACCCTTCAAATCTCAAGTGAGAAAACAGAAGACGAGTGAGAAGGAACGTTATTCCAAGCGGTGTCTATTATGGTACAAAAAGTGTCAGGTATTTATAATTTTTAGTAAAAACGTTATCATCATTACAGTCGTCCAATCCACATACAGTGGTCTTTAGCATTTTCCAGTCGGGAAGCTACACGTCTAGATTCTAGAATGTTCTTCCAAAGGATGATTGGAATGTCTTCGGCTATTTCTGAGCTTCTTTGAGATTCCTTGAGTTTACCCGTGGGTCGTTTTCACAACCAAAACTTACCATGAATAAAAATTCACGATATGTTCATAACTATGTCATATGTGCTACAAAATTCAGTAATAAGAAATTCTTTGTATAGGGTATGGGTTTGTGAAGATTTTGTACAACTTTAGGGTAATTTTCATCACTTGGAAAACTGTTGAAAACTAAGAAGCAATATGATATTATGTTATTCTACATTGGGATCTCTCAGCAACGCACACATAAGATATCATACTATAATTGAATTTAGGATTATCAAATCTCTTCGTGTGAGAAAAATCCTCTATGAAGTGTACTAACTTTTGTTGTAACAAACAAAAATAGTATAATAAATACAAACTACAATCGCATATTAGGTTAAATGTGTAAATACAAAGTATGGACCTAAATTTTCTGATGAAATTTAATCATTCGTAGTTGATGGAATACGACTGTATGTTGTTCAGTTAATTGATAATTATATAATTAGTATATCAGTTTATAGTGAATATTGAATTCTTTTGACCTATATTATGAATTGAGCTTAGTTTGAGGTTGAAAAATGTTTATGGACTATTGCGATTTGATTGAATTTAGAAATATAAAACATTGGACTCCAACCCAGGCATTAGAGTGGTTACGAGTTCGCTGCAAGCCCTTAAGAGTCTGAGTTTGATCTATGGTGAGGTCTGGGATAGGTACATGTGAGAATACTACGTTGGGACAGAAATTCTACTCAGTACTTCCTGATTCCTAGTAGTTGTTCAGGTAAAGTCGGTCCGTGATTCAAAACATAAATATGTTGAATGTATTACTTTGCTTTGTCGGATTTCTCAATTTATTTCCAACTCTGTAGATATAAGTTTTGTACATCACTTTTCAGATTAGGGCATTTCAACTTAGCAATTTTCACTGTTTAGATAATGATTTATATGGGATCGTGAAAATGACCATGTCTTATATTTGAATAAATTATTTGTCAATACCATTCACATAAATGATAAATGTAAGTTTCATCAGTGATTAACTTTAAAATGAACTTTATCCTGAACATTATGATGAAAAGCTAACACACACTAGTGGAGTCAATCTAGTCGGAATGAGACATACTATCGGTAATAGTGGAGAAATATAAGCAACATGGAGCCCTGACTATTTCATGCTGTGATCAGGGTCAAATGAAAATTCGTTGATTTGACTGATCCATATTCTATCAATCAGGGTTTTTTGGACGAATCCAGATGGTAGAAGATTCTTACGTAAATTCTATAAAGACTCTAATTATCTTACTATCGAACTCTTTGTTATTTGAATCTATGAACCATAAATTATTGGTTCACAATCTTTTCTTCTGATTTACGGAGACTCGAATAAAGTATCGTAGTTAGGAAATGGTAGATAGTAGAATAATACAACAATGAGGATGATATTTAATATGTATGAGAGATTGACCGAATTTCAGTCTATGAATCAATGGATGCCAATTGAATAGATGAATAACACTGGGGCTGTCATAATATTTGAATATTCTATTTTCCAACACTCTTTTTGAGGTTATGATGATACATCGTTAAATGACCTCGAATGAAGAAAGTCTATATGGAGGTGACCAATTAGTCTCATGTTTATTGTTTAACCGAAAGAATAGGTCGACAGAAATATAAGACCACATAAAAATAGTAAAATTTTGAAGAAAATCAGTTAGACATAATTTTATCAGAGGAGATTGATTTATTGCTTGTGAAATAATCAGGAAGTTCATGTTTACATGAAGTAAACACTGTTGATATTGTGTAGAATGACAGAGAGAGATTCACAATTAAACCATTGATCTGAGAGAATATAACATGACTGAGGACTATTTATTCTATACTGTTTAGTATTCTAATTATTTTTCAATTAATCTCAGTTCATGCTAAAAAACTATCTTGTAACTCATAGTTGTTATTCACAGTTTAGGGTCATATCATGGGCATGATTATTACTTATTTTAAAATTTTACATACCGGACCAACTTTGGTTAAAAAATCACTAGAAACCAGCAAATAATGAACAATTGTTTCGCCTTGATTCGGAACTCATTAGCACTAAGTATTAAAGGCCTCACCAAGGATCGGAACAAGGATCTTCAGTTCTTCCAGGGAATGCTTAACCTTCAAACTATTGAGTAGAAATCCATTGATTTTCATTTCATAACGTTAAACTAAGCAAGTAATTTACTGTGTTGATCTTACTCTATCCCTAATCAAATACCCACCTACCCACACGCATACACACCTAACTTCTTATCCTCTCATACACATAAACATCCATAGAACAAACAATTATGGTATTAGTATTAATATCAACAACAATAACAACACTCAACTGTACATTTTGTCCTTAGAGGAAGTTAAACAAGACAAAACAAGCTGAAAAAGGAAGAATTACTTAAGAAAAACATTCTTTCTCTCTTTGAACTATAGAAAGAAAGGGAAAAGGAAATGACGAAAAGATAAAAAAAACGAGAGGTGATCAATCTGAAAAATACAGAAAAAAAGAAAAACAAACAAAGAAATCAACCGACAATTCACAACTCTTAATACTCATAATTATATTATTACAGTAATCCTTGTAAAACTTATCATTATTATTAATAATAGTTTATAGAAGAAAGATAATAATAATAATAACAATAATAAGGGTTGTATTCCTTTGAATGTCTATATTTACCATTCAAATTATGTATGATAAATGATTTTAATGTTAATCATTAATCGATTTCATTCTTTTAATCACTTATATGTGTTTAAGTATATGCAATGGCATGCAATTATGATATAACAAGGAGTCTGTATATAACTAGATTTCGTCGAAGAAAGTAGTAGTAGAAGAAGAAGAAGAAGAAAGGAAGAAGTAAGAGAAGGAAGAGTTGAAAGAATATAAGATTAAATTATTATTGAATGTTGAAGATGATAAGGAAATCAAAGAAATACAGCTACATTTAATGATTCTAATTAATTGAGCTAAATAGTATCCATTTAGAATTATATATGTATGTATATCACATTCATATAGTTATAAACATACAGTTTTATATCAAGATATCTATACCTACGTATATATGCATATATATTTGTATAAAAGGTACTAATTTAACTGAAAGACAATAAGTAATAGTAATTCTATGTAACATTAATTAATTAGTGTTTATTCAATATTCACTGATAATTTACCAATTAAAAATTATTGATTTATCACTGATTATCATTATCAACATCATCACCATCAACATCACCAACACCAACATCATTACCATTACCGTCACCATCGTCATCATCATGATTATCGTCCTACTGTAATTGACAAACGTATCAAATACAACAATTACATTGTTCTCATTATTATTATTATTATTATTATTATTATTCACTTTTTCTTTTCTTTTCTCTTTATTTTTCTTTTCAAAAAAAAATTTAATCTTTAGCTAATATTAAATAAAAAAACCAATAAATAAATAAAAAAACAGAAAATGATATTGGAAAAATTAATCGACTATATGCATCAATTTTTGATTCATATAATGCACTACTATTATCATTATGAGTAATATTAGTAGTATTAGTAGGATTTATAAATTTTATTGATTTACATTTTTTTGAATTCGATAATATTTTATTCATATTTATTAAAGATTGTTTTTGTTGACATGGTAACATACATTTAAAACATGATAAACATTTATTTAAAATATTTTTATTATGCCATAATTTTTGATTGGATTGATTAATTTGATCATGATAATAATAATGATGTTGTTGTTGTTGTTGTTCTTGTTTATTATCATTGATTTGTTTTATTGATTTATTATTGATTATATTCTGTTTTTTATAATTTAAAAATGTTGTAATTTTTAATTGTTTATTTGAATTTATTAAATTATTATTATTTATGATTGAATTATTGATTTTTAATGCTGATTTTTTAGGTTGTTTATTTAATAATAATTCTTGATATAATGGTTCAATTAATATATGACATGAATCAATATTTATTGATTGTTTATTTTTTTGTTGAATAGATTTTGTTTTTTTTATTGATTTTATAATTGGTGATGAATTAATTAAATTAGAATTAATTTGATATGATTTTTTATTTTCATTATTATGATTTATTGATTTTATTGATTTTAATTTTGAATGTTTTGTTGACATTTTTACCTAAATTTAGTTTTAAAAAAAAGAAAAAAATTAGTATTGATAATAAACATGATTTTATTTTGTTTATAAGAGTTTAAATTACTAATTAGTAGTATATTTCGAAGTAGGAAAATAAAAACAATTTGGAAGGAAATTGTGGCTGGTCAATAAGTGAATGATGTGAACCGGAAAACAAGAAGCCTTAACAAATTACGGAAGCTATTTTTGGGGTCGTTAATTCATTTAATTCAAAGCTTGTAAAACTGTAACATTTACTTTTTTCCCTAGCCTATTCTACAGGTCATAAGCTTTCGTTTGATGTATGACTCATTGCCATAGCATTTTCTGTTCTAACGCTATTGTCATTTAAACGTAATCTTTTGTACCCTATTTTCTACTATAATCCCCCAGTTTTGGACATAATTGTGTTTTCCTGATTATTGTACGTTGTGGTCAGCCTATTCATCTATTTATTCATGTAACTTTTCACTTTAATCTGGAATTGCGAATTCGAGTGCTAGATCGGTGTTGGAATAAAGTGATTAGTGTTCCAGCTGTCTTTGTCTTCTCTCTCTCGTGCTTGCCAGCCAATCAGGGATAGAATAGTTTTCGTCTCTCTACCCCCGCTTCGAACTCACGCATATTAGCCTCAAGGTTAAGCCAGTCAGCCTACCGGGTCAAGGTCTTAATCTACATTAGATAAGTCATACTCGGCACTAAAGTGGGTAGAAAGATTCAAGGACGTAACAGTGAAGATGGACAAATTTAATTGACAAATTTAATTAATAAATGGCTACAGAACCAAATGAATTCGAATGGTCAAATAAGATCACAGAATAGACAAACATCTTCCTCTATTGCGAAACATTTAGTTGAAACTAGTCATAAGGTTGACATCAAATCAGCATTTGTAGTGTTGTACAAAAGCCTTCAAGGACGTATACTAAGGTTTATTGAAGCCTTGGCTATACGGAAATTGAAACCCCCTTTATGTGTTCAAAAACAATTTGTTCTAGCCCTTAACCTACCCTGGTAATGCTTATTTATTATCCAGAGTAGTCATCATATTGAATTCACTTAGTATTGTTTGTTTGGATCTTCCCATCGATGTGTTTAGGACTGCAACTGGTCAGTCTCTGCTTAGTCATCATATTGTTTTTGTGTACTTTATTTATTTTCTTACATTAACCTGTCTAGTTGACCTTTTAATTTTCATATAAAAAAATGTCTTAACAAGTAAATGTGTGATCAGATTGTTCGAAATGTATTGCTCTAATATATCACATAATTCTGATAAACTTCGTCTTCTCATTGCATTATCGAAATTTATCAAAGGGACTAATTAAATATAAGAAATAGTTATGTGTTGTTATTCATTTCAATTTTGTTGTTAATTATTGATTACTTTATATTGTGTGTTGATAAATCATTTAACTGGTCTATATCTGACTAAATAATGGAGTTGAGTAAATTGAGTACATTTATTGCGATTTATTAGCACTACTGATCTGACTATTTGGTTATTTAGTGTTATGTAGGGTTGCGAACCTGATATGCTTGATTCTATTATGAGTTCACTTTACTCGGTAAACGGGACGAAAGTCAAAGACACAGTGATACGATAGGCTATTCTAATCCGGTATCCCCAGCCCTGCTAACTAGATCAAGAAGACTTGATGATTGTAGAGAATATATTCTACAAGCACCCATAAAATACGAAATCACTAAGCGCACAAATTAAGCTTATTTATACAATGATAGAAACGCCCACGTTAACAAATCACAGTCAAGGATTTCCGAGTGGGAAATGTAAGCTGTAAGTTAATTAAGTGTCTCTTGACGAGAAAACATAAAATTCATATTTTCAGGATAAAATTACAAAATTTGGACCTTTTTCAAGTGAGTTCTGGGGATCTAATGACCTTGACAGAACCACAAACTTGTAATTAACGGTTATGACGAAACTAATGTTTTCACTATGTACGTTAAAAATAATGATATTTCAGAAACACTCAAAGGAGATAAATTATATTGAACCTTTCAATTATTTGGTGGATGAAATTACATTTGGGAGAGAAATAAGTTAGTTGCTTTACTCACTGACTGACCAGTTATTATTGAGTATTGTATCACGAAGTGGCTTTATGTAGAGATCACCACTTAAAATAATGAAACAATAAACAACTGTCTGGAATTATTTATCAGTGTACACATAGTACTTGATGGTGTTTTAGGGCTAAGATCATAAGGTTTGGCAGCGAGCTACATTTAGTCTACGCGTTTCACACTTAATGATTCATATATCTGACCTCAATCAGTTAATAATTTTGAGTGACTGTCATCTACTGTCGTTGATGATACCTGTCTTGTCCTCCACCTAGCCACACTAAACTGGTAACGGCTTGGCATTGTAGCTTAAGAAATTCTTTTCAAACTAAGTTATTGATAGATATACAACTGATATTATCATTAACAGCTGGTACAGATTATGAGATTTACCAGAATGGTAGCTGATTTTGGCAACTAATAAGTTCGAACCTATGAGTTATGATACTGTCACCGTTACATCTATACCCTATGGATTTGATATTGCATAAAATTGACTGAGTACTGGTGATGGCTTACAAACATGGATTAAGGATCTATTTAATTTTCCTAAGCTTTCAAATGACGTCAAACCGTGATATTAGATGTTTCCAAATTAATATCTCAGAGATTAGAGTGTTAGATCACTCTTAATTAAATTTTTCAATACATAATTTACAAACAACATTTTTAAGATTGATGTTTACTCATAAAAACTATTCATCCACAAAATTATCGGTTTCTCCATTAAGTTGAGGTTGATCTTCTGAAATGACTAATCTGTTATCAAATGCATCGCCAATTTACACAAAAGGAACTAAAGAAATAGGACTCAACTATATTTCTGTAATGATGATCTTTCTCTCTCCTCAAAAAACCAAACTTCACCAGATTGCAGGAGAAACGTTGGATTTACTTCAAATTCATTCGCTGAGATTTTACAAATATATTATTCCTATTTACGTAAATTAGTTTATGTATCCTATGACGTTTCTGAATTTTAATCCAGGTTAGCAAACTTCACTTTTGAGAATCCTCAATGGGAATGATAGATGATAATATATACTGTTGAGTGTTATTACTCGTTTTACAATGAAAGTGACATGGATGAATGGATGTTGATTACAGTTAATATTTTTAATGAATAATATGAACTATTGACAAGTAGTATAAATATATAAGTGAAATATTTCGCACCACTTTTTTCCCTAAATCTATAATTTTGGAGGAACACCCTTCATTCTAACAAACAACATTCGATTCATTAACAATTATGTTTTTATTTTTGGCGTTTTTTCCAATTCTATTCTAGACGTAATTAATAAAACGTTTGACCTCTATTTTAAACTCAGCTATATATCTCATATATCTTTGGAATTTTTAATATAAATGTAAGAAACCATTCAGTTAAAACTCATACCCTTTGAACAAGTGGGTGATTATTTGGACTTAGTAGCTATGTGGATAATGCGTTGGCGTTTGGAGCCTATTTCACTGGGTTCAAATCCGGGAGTGTAAACCAACTCTGGGATGCAGGCATATCTGGCTGATCAATAATAAATAGGATGAAACGTGCATTCTGGATTCCACTGCTAGCTACGTTCCATCTCTTCTAAAAAATTAATACTAGTACTTTAAGTCTGACCGGAACTAAGAATTGTAAATTACGTTAAGAATTTACCGTTTGTACATTATAATTACAATTATGGGAGAATCTAACTAGAGATTAATGTGCAGTATAAAGTCCACGGTTGACTCAAGTTCCTCTGGATTCAAGTCAATCAATAGTTCCCAAATAAATGCACTTTGATATTTAGAAGCATAGTATTTTTATGTTAGTTACTCACCACACCATAAAATTATTTTAGGGTCTCTGTGCAACTGATAAATTGATATAACTGATTATTACCTGTTAAGCTCTATTTCTAAATTCAATTTGTCTAATACAACATAGAATCACTGATACAATGGATCACATTTCAAATTAACTAATGAAATCTAACCAACTGTAATGGCCATACAAGTATGATACTACTCGATAATTAATTCGTTTACATAACTTAGTATTTTAGGAGGTCAGTTGTAATCTAAAACCTCAGTGGTAATGTCTCAGACTATGAAATGGAATGACAGATTTGAAACCCACAGGAAACATCGCTTACCTTTAAAAGTTGAATTACGCCTAGTTGATGAGTGGCAGCTAACACAGAGAAGTCAAATGGTGTTTCCTGCACCTTAAATCAGATCTCTAAACTAGTCAATAAATTCTAATTATTTAAAAAAATAACTTGATATTGTTAGGGAAACCCAGTGTATTTCTCGAAAAAAGCCCAGAGGGGTCCTGAAAACACTGGGGAACATTTTATCCAATCAGCACTGAATAGAAGTTCTTCGGAAGCATCTAGAAAGCGGAGAGTCACGTGTCAAGTTCCGGATTGGGTGATTACCTATCCTGCTACTATGTTTAGTAGGGTTCCAGAACTTTCCAGAAACCCGAGGCCATCTGAAATGCTATAAATACCCTGTTTACTAACCTTGGAGTAAAGTGGTCTGTCCATATTTCATGCCTTTTCTCTCGTGTTCAAGTTGTCATGTAGATTTAACCTGGGGGCTAGTAGAAGAACTTAAGAAATCGATTCCAGCGTTCAGTCAGAAGACTTATTAAATATTTATAATCACATCAAATGATTAAAATCTTGCAAGAAAAAATATCAGTCATATACAACATACTTGTATTTGTTTTTTTCTTGGTGCTTCAGGACATTTTAATCGAGCACAAGCTGGACAAGTACAACATACTGGTTGATAAGACTCACAAACTTTACAATGTAGATTTGTTGATTTGATATGCCTTGATCTACTTGTTCTACTCGATTTTTTCATTGATTTCATTGTAAATTCAGGATCAGATTCAATATCCCTTGTATGTGAATTCAATTTTTTATGTTTATTATCTATGTGGGATTGTGGTTGATGTGACCGAGATCTTTGATTATTATTATTATCTCTGAAAATTGGTTTATGATGTCGATTCTTTGTGAAACAACAACAACAACGAATTTCACCAGTATAATTTACTAATAAAGTTTTAACTAAATCTCTCACTTCTGGTTCCCATTCAGGACTGTCACTTTTAGGTGTCATTAAATATGCATAAGCGAATTCAGCTAACGCTGCGATGACAAATAATAAACAAACCGTTAACCAAACATCAATTGCTTTTAAATAGGTTACTTTAGGTAATTGTGAACTAACACTGCTACTCTGTTTATTTTTTTTGTTTTTGTTTTGGTTAAAACAAAAGGGAATAGAAAGAGAGAGAAAAAAGAAAGACAATTGATTTTATCAATAAGAAATCATGGAGATAGTTTTCTTTAAAAAATGAATAAAGTAACAAACATGATCAAAATAAGAGTATCTCAATTCAAACTTCCAAATGGCCTAATGTACTAATTAAATCTTTTTTATAGTAATTAGGTAGTATTGAATGAACTGAGATTATTCTTGTTTGAAGTGAGTTATTTAGTCAATGGTAGTGGATGATGATGGTCCAATACTGTGGGTCGACTAAAGTTAGAAATGTAAATCAACGGATAATAATTCGGTGGTACAAAGGTTAAGTACACTTAGAGAGACATCAAGATTCTGGGTTCGATCTCTCATTGAGTCGCGAATATGCAATGCTAATGAGTTCAGTGCTAGGGTGAAACACCTGTTCAATGTTTCCTGGTTTTAAATGATTGTCTAAGCAAGACCAGTCAATGGTGTAGATTATCAAATTCAACAATCTGGACAAATCCCTCACATTTATATGTGTATATTTTATTCATCAAATTAGATTATGTGGCATAAATTTAGCTAACAAATTAAGATTTTCATAAATATACGTAGACAATTATTAAAAGCCTGGAAACACTGGACAGATGTTTTGTTGTATTACAGAGCTCCCCAGAAGTGTATGTCTATGACCCTGGGGATTTATTAAACTACAATTCATCTTCATCATAATAAGTTCATAAGAGGATCATTTGAATTTGGAAAATGATTAAATTCGCAAACAATAAAGATTAACTTGATTTGTGAAGGTTAGGAGCTTCACATTTCTGTTACTAAGGTATTCATTCAATTAAACTCCTTAAGTACACTGTCATTTAATCATAAGTAGCTACGAACGTTGAATAGTGCTTAACAGTGGAATATAGGGCATACATTTTGTCAGCTGAATGAACTTGCAAATTCCAACGTTAGTATTCACACTGATGTTTGAACTAAACACTAAACGTTTCAAACATCAATGCGTTATTCATTGAGCTGACAAATGTAGATAACCACCAGCTTGTGCAACGATCATATATTTTATTTAATTTGACTAACTGATTTTAAGAGCTAATTAAATAACAGGTTAGGCACTTGAAGTAAAAGGTACTATTTTCTAGTCTAAAACATCGATTATCAGTAACAAATCAAATTATCTTATGAAAACAATAAGACTTACTTCAGTTAACAAACCAAGTAATGTTAACAAACCTAATGTTACTCTAGCTGGTACTGCTTTAATATCAATCCAAAATCCTAACCATGATACCATAACAATTAAAACTTCTGGAATATAAGTTGTAACAATATAAGAACCAATTAATCGTCGAAGTGGTATAATTAATAATAGACAACTATAAGTTCCAGTATTTGTTGTACCATTTTTTGTACAATCCTGTATAATAAAAGAAAAAAAAAAGACAATTAAATGAAATTGATGTTAATACGTTGATTATTTGATTGTAGTGTATTCATGGAGATGATAATATTTACGAATAGTTAATTAAGTAGTTTAGAGCATTGTTATTATTTATTTGGTATTGTTTGTTTAGATCTACCCATTGATGTTTAGAACTGTAATTGATCATTTTGTTATTTGCATATATGCATCCTGCGTGGATCGCCTTAATATTGTCTAGGTTGCAGGTATATCCAGCTGACGAGTCCCTAATAGGACGAAGCTCGCGTCTTGGATTCCATTGCTAGCAACTATCCATCTTCGCTTATATTGTTATTATTATTTATTGTTATTTATACTGATAATGAGAAACTGATAAGTTTTGTAAAGAAAAACGAATTAGACATACAATAACCTTGGATATTAATTGATACAATATCTACTTAAAGATCAAAATGAAATATTAATAATGATTTGTAATTTCCCTCTGTTGATAATCGAGACTGTAATTAGTCAGTCCCCGTTTAAACATGTGCATCCAGAGGGGAATGTCTTGATATAGGATAGTGTCATAAGTTTTATTATCTTTGATATGTAAGTGGTAGTGGAATTCAGGTCTAGTGTTTCATTTTATTTGTTACTCATCAAATGAATGCATCTAGATCCCAGTGTTGGTATTCACATTGAAATTCAATGGAAATCATAAGCACCTACTTGTAATTTAGTACTCGTTGTACAAACTTGTGGCTTCATGGACCAAATAACTCAGTGGATAATATATTGGGGGGGGAGGTATAGAGGTATTTTGCTGATAACTCCCTAGATTCAACTGTTGTCCATATACCAAATATGCATAAACTGAAATAATTTAAGTTCTATTAATTGTTAACTAAAGGTTTGTTAAATGGGGGTTATTAGTTAACCTGACAAAAACTGTAACCGTTATATGTTGATATGTACTAATATGTTCATATATGCATGGATTGAGTTATCGAAGTATGCTTTGTGCTACTATACAAGCTAAATGATTTGATCCATGTGTTGTTGAAAGATAATTAGTGTCCTCATAAAATTTTATACTACTGATGAGCGTGAACATAAGTCGAATAAACGATCTTTCTTTAAAATATTAATCAGGACTTAAACATGTACAGATGTCTTTTTAAGGTTTTATTAATTTGAATTGTTCATATTTTCTTTTATTGAAAGCATTGATAGTCGATATGACAATGTTGAGTAAATTATTCTTTCTACTGTATGTATTAAAAGAACTCGATTAGTCTATTGAAAATAAATGCCCTGGTACGGCTGAGAGTGGGAAGAGTCCATTCTCCTTTTCGAAATGCTCTCACATGGCCACGCGTATATGACCTCTGCCAGAGAAGCCCTACTCACTGCCTTCTCACACCACGGGTGTTGTTTATGAAATTGAGAGGACGAAAAGCGAATGTCCGGCGCTTTAACCGGGTTGGTGGACATGAAGAGTCCACACAGGGGAGTTGGAAAACCATGATTCCAAACCAATGGTGCACATGGACTCCAGTATCCTGAGGGAACAAGTGGCGTATGAATCAATCGTTGGTCACCGGCTATCATGGGACTGTATCTACTTACGATGCTCCACTGACTTGTGGATCAGACCTTTAGGTCAAAGGCTCCGAGTGTAGCTCCCAAAGAAAACCACCTGCTTCATTTTGGGCACCTGGTCAGTATCACAGCCCTCAAACAAATCAAATGAGATTTGTGTGGCGCATATTTATCTGATGCTTTCCTTGTACCAATATTTATATGTTTAAACAAATAAATGAATAAACTGAAGACAATTAAACTTCTTTTCTATTAGATCATAATTAAATCATGAAAACTAATTAACTAATTCATAAGTAACCAACTTTAAATGGATGTACATGGGTATTATTACTGCACTTTGATTAGTTTATATCAGTTATTATGCTGTGCTGCTAGCTGCTTAATTCAATAATCTTTTTATTCAGTCAAAATGTTACGCTCACATTAGCTTTACTGTATCAAATTGAACTATCTTGAGCTATAAAAAGAAAATGACAGATTGAATTTATTTACTAAAACTACTTGGCTAATTTACTCAATAAATAATATTATATAGTTGAGATCATGAATCAATTGAAGCTAGACCACCATGGAAAACCTGAAAGCACTGAACGTCCGTTTCACCCTAATTGGGGACTCCTCAGTAGCAGTGCGCATCCACGATCCCGCCTCACGAAATTCGAACCCAGGATTTATCAGCCTCCCACCAGAGCACCTAATCGATAGACCATTGATCCGGCCGACACCCAACGGTGTTAATGTCTACTCACTTATATTCATTACTAGTGCTTAATTCAGAATATATTTTCTTTTAACTATATTACTATGTTTTTCTTAGCAAAAAATATTAACATTATACTGATTTTTTTCTAAAAATCCGACTAAATCATCTTTGATCATATTTCCTACTTTATAGAAGAAAGTAGAATCATAATTTTTTCAAAGTTGAACTCCATTAGATTCATTAAAATGAAAGTTTTTGTTTATCAGATGAGAAATGATTTTCTCCTCCCTTCCCCTTCCTCTCTTTATATATATATATATATATATATATATATATATATATATATATATGCGTATAATGTAAATATATTTGTATCTAAGTGTATATAGTATTCAATATTAGTAGTATTATTACTGTTACTAATGAAAATAGCTTATTACCCTCATTTTCTTCTGTTTATCTCATACGACATATACATACCCTCAATATACTCAGCCATGTACACATTTGTGTATACACATACATATACACAAGCATATATATATATATATATATATATATATATATATATACATGATCATTGATATTCCATTACCTATAGTTTGCCAATATTTTTTATTATATCACAAAATAGAATCTGGTAACTGAGGGATAAACAGGAAAAAAATGGCAGAGATTAGTTATTTATTCCATTTTTTCAAAAAAAAAATACGTCATAGAATGTGACTGTGGTTAAAAATGAATTAGGTTTATTTAAATAAATTAACATTTTTTTATTTTTTATTCGATAAAATATATTTTAGTAATGAATATCCCCCATATGTAATATAGAGGGGATGAAATAATAAAATGAAAAAAAACACAAACAAACTATGACGTTATCATGTATGTGATAAGATTGAGAAAATTAATTGGTGAAAAAAGATTGCTTTGAAAATTAACCGATTATTTGTATTAGTTTTAATTGAATAATTAGAAAGTAGCTATCAGGACTCAGTAACTGAGTGGATAATGCGATGGCGTTTGAAATGAAAGGTACTGGGTTCAAGTCTCAGAGTGAACATCAACTCTGAGATGCAAATACATCCAGCTGACGAATCCCAAATAGGACGACACACGCGTCAAACTGGAATCCCTAGTTAGCCACTATCCATCTTGTTTTATAATGTTTGTGAATTAAGGCTATATAGCGGTAATATGCACAATATGCACATATGGCAATAAGAGAGTGAACAGTTTCAGTCCTAAACATCAATGGGAAGATTCAAACAAACAATACCGAGTGAGTTTATGATTTGATTTATTCTAACAATTTTTTTATAAAGACAGAATTTGTTCAAGATTATCATCAATAGAACTATTGACTTGTCTATTAATTACGGTCTTCCAAATTCACAGCTACTTTTGGCTTCATCTTGTACAAATGCTATTTTCTATTTTATGGTGTTATATAGTCTGTTTGGTTTGTATATAAACCCAGTATATTTGAAATACATGATTCATGTCGTGGAAGCTGAGATTGGCGTTCTGGACTTAACAAACAGGACAAGGCAGGATAAAGGACCGATAAAGACTCTAGACTGCACGTACGGGTTATATGTGTCATTGGTCCGGCCGATAATTCACTGTTCTTTAATTGCGGGTATCATTACGTTATATGATAATATGGCATAAGTCCACAAGTTATAACAAATTGATCTAAGTTGGGGTACAATTGAAAATCAGGGAGCATTGGATAATTGTTTCATCACAGTATGGGACACTTTAGCGGTGGGGACATATAACCCCACTATATATATCGCACAGTTTACCTAAACCTTTCAGAGACGCACAGAATAGGAAAAGTATATTATAAAACAAGAGAATAATAATGAGAAAGCACTTAAAATAATATGATTTTCGCTTTTCTATGAATAAGTTAAGGCGAATAACTGCATGTGATATATATTTTTCAAAAATTTCCTTCATAAGAAAAATTACGGATGTAATACACAATTCACTTGGATTTAGTTTACTAATCATTGGGAAAAATATGATATTGGGTAGAGTTTGGAGCAAGAGAGAGAGAGAAAGAAGAAGGAAAGGACAAAAGCTCTGAGTAATTTTCAACTTACGATTGCATCACCTCACCTTACTCTGGTTTATCCTCTCCCTTGCTCACTCTCTCTCTCTCTGTGCTATCCCTTACCTACCCACTTCCTGTCACTGTTGTTATATTTTTACGCAAACAAAACAAAACAAAACCACAAGGAAAAATATGTACATTATAAAATAATCATATGAATTATTCATTTTTTTTGTAAAAACTTAAATGAAACATAAAAGAGATCAGAAGGGTTCATAAAGTATTGAGACTGTTATTTCTATCATATTAATTAGTTATTCAGACAGGAACTACTTATCTACGAGATGTTTCTCTCATAGGTAAATGGGGGGGAGACAAACGAGCCCAGATTGCATAGTATACTCCAGAGATCATAGTGAAAAGAAAAAGGATAAAAGATGTCTATATTGTATGAACAAAAATGGCTACATATATATACATACACAATGAGACATACATAAAAAGCACAAAATATACACACTCGTGATGTGTATTTCAAGTACACTTGAATGTTTACTACATATATAACTATATATTTAAGAGTACCGATCCTTTTTAAATTTGAAAAATTGTGGAAAGACCCATTAAATTTGTGAAAAT